GTCAGAATCTGGTGTAATAGCTCACTACCGACTGGATCTGATCAGTAGTGCACTGAACTTCCCAGATCCACTATGGATCTGGTCGAAAATGCCAAATCTACAACCACGGCTAAGATATGGCCATCGTTGACAGTCAGATCTGGTTATAGATCTAATCTTTTCTAGTTAGATCTATGGTGGATCTGTCTGGAAAAGGTTATATCGGTGCACTACCAACCAAATCTAGCTGGTCATGCACCATTACGCCAAATTTCGGCCACCTTCTGACAACGATGGTAGTCGAAATCTAGCAAATGTGGATGGATGGGAGTGTTTTTGTTAATTTATAAAATTTTTATTGTTGGGGGTATTTAGCTAAATTAACAAACCTATAGGGTGTTTTGGTAATTTTTAAACCTTGGTAATTTTCAAACCCTAGCTTGTAATAATAACCTAAGTCTACTTTTTCAAAAATACTACTCCAAATAATAAAACAAACATATTCTATGCCCTTAGTCTAAAGCCTAAACACGTTGTGTGGAACAAAATTGAGAAGTTTCTAAGAACTTTATTGCCAATATGTTATTCTCTTAGAGCATCTCCAATGGTGCTCTTTATTTTAAAGAGCGTCTTTCATATAAATAAAGAGTATCTTCATTAATTTTTAAATATAAATAACACAATTTTTATTCAAATCTAATAAACTCTTTAAATTTAATGAAGATGTTCTTTATTTCTAAAAAAGAGACTTAATGGGAGAGAGAATTAATAAATAAAATGCATAAGAGCTTGTAATTTATTAATTAAAATTAAGATAGAGAGTGAAATTTGACTCTCTAAATGTGGAGAGTCAAACTCACTCTCTAATTTATATTTTAAAGATAAAGAGCATATTGGACTCTTATTTTTATGGATAGACTCTTTATAATAAAGAGTTTGAGTCATATAAAGAGTCATTTGGAGATATTCTTAGTCTCTGTATTTCATTTTTCTCCACCGTTTTTTCAATTATTTTTATTTTATCTCAGTTTGTGTCGTTATTGTAGATTTTGTTTTACAAGTATTTCATTATTGTGTTATTAGTCAACATTAAGTACATTAATGTCAATTTTTCTAACAAATTAATAATGAAATATATAAATATATAAAGTTTATCACAATGTAGGATTTGGATTTTGCTTTGTTGTTTGAATCAACCAGGCGAATGATGCTTTAGGTTAGGGGGTTTCCACTTGGAAATGTTATTAGCCACCTAATACATAATTAATTTAATGCAAGGAGAAAATACATACATTTACCTAATTCTGCCTACCGGCTGCCTACTTTTCACTAATCAAAAAGAAAATGAATTAAAATGGGGACATATAATCATTTAGACTACATCTCTGCTAAGAACAACTTTTTAGTTCTAAAAACTTAGGGTGAGTTTGTTTTGTTATTCATATCCATATTCTCAATCATATTCCCAAAATACTTGTTTGTTTTATTATTTGAGAAATACTATTCTATTTTGTTTAATTATTTTAAACCCTTTAAATTTATTAATTTAATTAAACACCCCTAGAAAAAAAGTTTAAAAATTAACAAAAACACCCGCACCCATCCATAGTTGCCAGATTCTGACAACCACCGTCAGTGGTTGCCGGAATCTGTCACAACGGCGTAAAAATGACCGGAATTGGCCGGTAATTCGCTGATCTAGCCTTTTCCGATCATATCCACACTAGATCTGGCTGGAAATGGCTAGATTTGGCCGTCAGCGACAGCCAAAGAAATGGTCGTCGTTCTGGCCTTTTATGGCTGTCAACAGCCAGATCTGGCCATAGATCTGGGATGCACGATCAGCCAAATCTGACTAGTCTGCGTCGTAACGCCATTTTTCAGTCAGATTCCAACAGTGGTAGCCGAAATCTAGCACTGTGGGTGGGTGGGGGTGTTTTTGTTATTTTACAAAAATTTTATATGTTGGGGTGTTTAGTTAAATTAGCAAACCTATGAGTTTTTTTGTTAATTTTTAAATTTTACCTCGTAACACTCACCATATTCAACTACCTAATATTATTCTCAAAATTCTATCCAAAATAACAAAACAAACGCACTCTTAGCTTTTTGCATTAAGACAGAAATGATTCTAGAGGTGAGATTTACCATTACTGCATCAAATTCAGACCATAAACATCTACGATAAACCTTGATTTCCACCATCGGTCTATAAATATTTACTACTTCCACTGCAATTTCTTTAATGATCATAACTGTATTGGAAGACAATGAACAAATAAAGATGATAAGCTCAAAATCAAGAACTTCTGAATAATTTAGATATTCTAAGCGCTTAGTCTAAACACGCTGTGTGGAACAAAATTCAGAACTGCCCAAGAGCTTTCTTGCCAATATTTTATTCTCTTTGCTCTGCATTTCTACTTTCTCCACCATTTTCTTCAATTATTTTCATCTTAGTCTGTTTCGTTGTTATAGATTTTATTTTACAAGTCTAGTCTTTCATTAGTGTGTTATTAGTCAACATTAAATGTCAATTTTTCACAAGAACTTAAAAAAACCATGCTTGATGTTGTAACATTTTCTAATACGGGCTTGAAATTCTAAAGAGGTTTATTTATGTATAAGGTTAGATGAGGAAAAGAGGAAATTAAAAAAAAAAAAAAAAAAAAAATTCAGACCTACGCAATTAACAATCAATAGATTTTTCATTAAGTTTGTTATAATTTTCACCTTGCTATTATTTTTATGTTACATGTAACCCAATTGGTACTTGTGACTTGTTTCCAAACATGAAGTATATATATAAAGTCGATAATAATGTTGGGTTACTGTTTTATATTTTTTCAAGGATTTAAAGTAAAACGGATAAGAAGGAAACTATAATACCATATGATAAACACATTAAGTAAAACAAGTTGAAAACAGCTTATGAACAACCCATATAATTAACCATAATATTTTAATATAACAACTTATAAACATCTATATGAAGACAAAAGATTGCCCCATAGGATTTGGATTTTCTTCACTGATTGAATCGACCAGGCAAATGATGCTTTAGGGGGTTTCAACTTGGAAATGTAAATATATTCAACAGAATTGACAAAAAAATTAAGGAAATAATTCTTAGATTGGTCTATATTCTCTTTAACTTATATATAACAATATAACAATAAGGTTCTATATTAAAAATATAATATGGTATCAATTGCTCCATATAATTAAAAAAAGAAAAAACTTTGAAATTAGGAATTATATATAGCTCCATTTCTTGACTAGAAAAGAGACAAATTGGATGAGATTATTAATTGAGGGTCAAGCTATTGTAATACAATTTCTTGACTAGAAAAGAGACACAATTCACGACCACTTCTTTGGCCGTGAAACTGCCACAAAAACGGTCATCTTTGGCTAGAAAAGACCTTACTAACGCACGACTGGCCAGATCTCGACAGTCGTACACCATTACGACGACTGATGTCAGTGGCTGACGGTGGTGAGTAACGGTCGACGGTGGTGAGTAACGGTCGACGGTGGTCTTGGGTGATTAAGGGTATTTTGTTAACTTTTAAACTTTTTTGTGGCTGGAGTGTTTTAGCTAATTTCTCAAATATAGGAGTGCTGGGTAATCGTTATTTGATAAAAATTTGAGGGCAATTGTGTCCAAAATGGTTTTTAATTAAGGGCAATATAGGTATAAAAATCAGATTACCCGATAATGTTTTAATTCCAAGGGTGGGGGAGGGTATCAGATTATCCCTCACATTACCAAGAGTAAACACTATTTGTATTAAAAGATTCTCATAATATATTATTACTTGCAACCAAACACGGAATCTTGCAAAGTAAACGAAGATTATCCCTGTTATCTTATATGTCCCCGATCCAAACACACCCTTAATAATAGCCCCTAGGGAGGGTATCTGACTACCCTCTACATTACTAAAAGTAAACACTATTTGTAATAAAAGATACTCGTAATATTATATTACTTGAAAATCAAACACCGAAATCTTACAAAATAAACAAAGATTACCCCGTTATTATATATGCCCCTGATCCCAACACACCCCAAGTTTCATAAAAGTTTCCATACATACTTTATATAGATGATATTATTCTTAATTTCTACTATAAATTCCAATGACTAATCAAATGTACATGGTAATATGGTATACTGATTCTTCCTTTTTAATTAATTTTTGCTTGCAGATAATTTTATCTTTGAGAGGAAAGTTGGGGTGGAACTATCTCCAAATCCAAATGATTTAAAAACTAATTGGTACAGATTGGAAGTTCAAGTATTCATTGTACTTGCCCTTTGTTTACAAATCATACTCCTCATATATGGTTTCCGAAGAAAATATATAGTAAGAAGCTGGATAAGAGTCCTTGTCTGGTCAACATATTTAGAAGCAAATTGGATGGCAACTGTTGCCCTGGGCANTCAGCATCTAAAATTAGATGAATATGAAAAGATAAGTAGTTAATAACAAGAACTCAAATTAAGTGATCTTCATACCATTAACAGCAGGACAAAGAAAATCGTTGGGAGCTGTAAATGTTATACAACTCAAGGTGTAATCTTGATGTACAAGCAACCCTAACATCAGTACTGACATTACGGAAAAACAAATTTAGACTAAAAACTAAATGTATATCATCTTCAAAATTTACGTAATGTACGAAAACACAAATTTTCAACCTATACCATCCAGAGTATAATGCTAGAATCAATCATCGAACCAAGGCTGTAGGCACTACAAAAAGAATGTTCTTGCTCTCGGTAACAGATAATGGTGAGGTGTAACGCCTCTTTTCTGTATTTACTCAAAACACGAACTCAATATGTATACTCTAGTTAGGACTCTCCAGAGAAATCATTTGAAGAATTCAGAAAAACAACAATTGCCTGTGAAGTCCAGACAGCTACTTTTAAGAGTGTGAGAAGCTGATGTTGTCTTGATCAACTAACTGCACTGGTGTTGCGAAGTTATGTCAACATTCTTGTTAATAATATGACATCGCTATTAAGAGAGTTAGCTACGCTAAGAGCTCCCTAGCTTTCTGAACTGCTTTAACATAGTAATACAGTCTCCAAAGTGTTATATTATCCTGAAAAACAATATTTTGCAAAGGATTAATAATTCTATATAGACTCACAATTGATGTCATGTTGTTGGTTCTTTACCTCTTTTTCTAAATCAACAAAATATTCATCAGAAGATTGGGGTTCTGCCGATTTATTATGTCGGACAATTTCAACGACACGGTCAAGGTTATTCGGCGGTAGCTTTTGAATCATTTTCCGAAGCTCGTGCTTCTCAGAAAGTGTCATAGGTCTGTAGATTGGAATTCAAAATTTGAGTCAAGCAGAAAAAGGTGTTAAAATATGCCATTTTATATGTATCCAACAGGAAAACAAGAGGACAGCACAACAATACAGCTAAGATTGCTAAATGCCCTAACATGCTAAGTAAAGGCAAAACACTAAACATAAAACCACGGTACATAAAACACAAAAAGATACCCACTTTTTTACTATTAACCAATTTAAGCAGGAACTAAAAACTCAGATACTAGCACTCAAAAGAAAAAGTGGAGAGGACAAGCATTATCCTAAACTGGTTTTCCGTATAATATAAAATAGACTGGGATAATTAAATTTGGAGAAAGTTAGAATGTCCTAAGCTCCTGTTTTAATTACTCCCCAAACGAATCTTTGATCAATTAACTGTTAATAGTTGAAGTAATGTTACACATCTTAAGTTTTATCCCAAATTTTTTACCCAGATGTCTCTTCCAATGTAAGAGTGACATGTGATGTGAAGGATATGGTAATAACAGATAGATAGACATCGCCTACGGCGAAAACTTTGACATAAGACATGAGACATAACATTTAGCCTTTTAGATGACATGGGTGAAGGAAACCAGATAAATATCTTATTATTAGGTATGAATGCATGTGCATGAGCACCTTAAGTGTTATTTCTTCACACAAGTTTTGTACGAAGTCATTAGCATCAGTGACCATATCTTAGAAGTAAATATACATTTAAATTGCAATTTGATCTGATCTTATCTTAATTCTTGACTCTTGAAACCAATAGATCCCATGAGCCAATATAGTTTTGGAAAACACATAATTAACTTACATTTAAACAAATTCCGTGAAAAAAATAAAAATAAAAATACCTGCACTTTGACACCACAGCATTAAGAAGTTCTTCAAGCTGTTGTTCCATGTGCCCTAGCTAGAAAATGATAATTTAACTTCAGTTTAGTTATAATGTACAAATGACTCACTGTTCATACTATAGGAACCGTAAAGTTAAAAAGATAGTCCTGAAATTGAGCCATAGACGCATTGCTAAATACAGAAATATTATACTATTTGCAAAACATTAGATTAAAATTCAGAAGCCTACTGTTGCTGAGAGTTCATCAAAATATTTTTTCAACATCTCCTCAACCTGCAAGCTGTCATTCTCTAGAAGGAACTGCAAATCACCATCCACCTAGAAAGAAGACAAGAAGATGGAAACAAGATACCTCAACGAGAATTTCTCAAGATATAATACCAAGAACACAATGCCAACCATGTAAAAACAGTAAAAGTATTAGTACCAAACACCATGAAAAAGCAAGAAGCAAAATAACCTCTTTACAAGATTCAGAATTGAGGGGATTGGGATGTGCAGGGATGCTGGTTGAGGAGAAGGAAGAAGATGTCTTATGTTTCTTAAAAGGAACTTCCACTGCATGACCCTTGGATGCTGTACCAATATCACTTGATAAAGACTTCTTATTTCTGATTTGAGATTGTAACTGACACATGGCTATAACAGGATCCAACATCTGCATTCAACATGTTAAACAATTATTGAAACTTTTAAATTGTGAAGGAATATATTTAGTTAACAGGCTAGCCATGACCCTGGCTCACTACAAAGGAAATAAACTTTGTCTCCTTGAGGTCTCATCAAATGTGCATGAATGATCATTACAAATACGTACACATTTTTAAGGACTAGACTGACATCAAACCAATCCAAGCCAAGGAGTATACCCCAATCAATAAACATCATCTAATCACAGCCAAGGTTCATTCCTAATAATTCAATCAATAATTCTTGGTCAAAATAACTTACATAATGGTTCTCAATCAAATCACAAACTTCACTGATCTTTCTATTTCAAATGGACCAAAGTAAAAATCATTGCAACCTAATAGTATTGCATACAATATATCAGTATTAGTGTTGAACTAATATCATAAGTGCAAAAACAAAATCTAGAAGTATATTTCCACAATCCAATTGTGGGTATAAAAAGGAGTAGAAAGCTGAAAATACCTCATCAACTTCCGGTGTGAGATCAAACACACCCTGCCTTAGTAATGACTTCAATCTTTCCTTTTTGAAATCTGAAAGCCCAGCTCCAATGCTGTCACTAAAAGAAGAACTAGCACCACTACCTCTACCATCAATTGTATCCTGGCCTCTGACCTCGCCACATTTTCTTTTACTCATTTCAGGGGTTTGTACAGTAAAAGGCAGGAAATCTTCATCTTGTGATAAGAGCTCTTTTACTTCACATGTATAGTAACCAAAGTAATCTGGTCCTACTTTACCATGACCTCTGGATGCAGCAAAACTTTTAGGAGCTTCTGACATAACTGAGAAGGCCACAGCAGTCCTGCACATAACAACCACATTTCACCCACAGAAATAGGTACCATCATTTGAATGAATGATAATCAAATGGTCAATATTTATATGAGCAGATTGAGAACCTAATTTGAATTAAACCAAACGTCAACACAAGTTAGATTTAAAGAATATAGCAAGAGAAGCAAAATATCTTACAAGAAATCAAAGGGACTCACCTACTTTAACCTAATTTTTTTATACACCAGAATAAACATGTAAGACAACCAAGTAAATTTCTTGGTATGAAGGCACTATGTCAAAAGAAGACAGGCATGTCAATTTTCTTTTTGCACTACTCTAAAGCATAACTAAGCATGCCCAATGAGCAAAAGGTGTACAAGAAATATAAGAAGCTAAGGGAAACCCCACTCTATTGTAGAATCATTTAAATGAAGCCACCAGCATTTACATAAACCATTGTGAAAAAGAATAAGATGATGATTAAAAAGCCTATGGTGCCCTTGAAAACATGTTTGATATAATATTAAAAACGATGGTCAACTAAAAAACAAAGCAAAAATTTCAGAGTTTACCCTAATTCTTAGGGTTCTTACTCGAAAACTATTGTTAAAAACATTTCAACCAAAATCGTTTTCTTAAAAAAAATTTTATCCCTAATTTACAAAAACAAGGAATTGTAATGGAATTCAAAGCCAAATGGACCCTTATTTTAAGCTAATTCAGTATACTAACATTCATTTCCTACCGTATAGACATGTGCAACTAATCATGTTATGGTAACCTCTAAGCCTCCTCTTCCTTTGTACTCTTTTAACTTCCTAAAATCAATAAAGCGACCGTATTTTCCAAACTACATTGATAGCTAATAAATCAATCCTCCTCATTTTTCAAAATTTCCTAGCATAACAGTAAAACTACACTATTTACGAGAAGAATAAGAAGATTATATTTATTGGAAAAAACCAAAAACCTAAAGGTGGATTTTGATCTGAAACAGAATTATAATCAACACGAAGAGAAACTCACTGACCTAAGTTGCCGAAACAGCTGACAATCTTATAAAACTCAAGATTTTGTTTTGCCGCCGAAATTATTTTCTTGCCCGAAATTATTTTCTTGCCCGAAATTATTTTCTTGCTCTTATCTGTTTGTTTAGAGCGAAGGCCCCTTCTCCTTCTCTTCCTGCCCGGCTCTCCTTCACGGAGAAGACGATCCGTTTTTCTTTATTTTGTTTTCGGATTTTAACAGATTTCAACAGGTAAATATTGTGTTTGTTTTATTATTTTAAGTGTATTTTTTTAATATTACTGTTAAGATTTGAAAATTAAAAAAATATCTAAATTTGTTAATTTAGTTAAACACTCTAATAATAAAAAGTTTATAAATTGATAAAAATATTTTCACCTATCAACAGTTATTAGATTTCGGCTATCATCACCGAAATCTGATGTCATTGTGCACGACTAGTCAGATCTGGTCGATCATACGCCGATATGGCATTTTTCAGCTAGATCCACCACGAATTTGGCTAGAAAAAGTCAGATCCATGGCCAAAGATATGGTCATTATTAATAGTCAACGACGGCCATATATTAGCTATCATTGATGGCCAGATGTGGCTAAAGATTTGGCCGTCAACAGCCAGATCTTTGGCCATGGATCTGGCCTTTTCTGGCCAGACACGTGATGGATCTGACTGGAAAATGCCAAATCGAGTCGATAGTGCACCATTACGCTAGATTTCGACCACCTTTCGACGATGGTTATTGGAATCTAACAAATGTAGATGGGTAAAGTGTTTTTATTAATTTATAAAACTTTTTATTTAGGGTATTTAGTTAAATTAACAAACCTATGGAGGTTTAAAATAGTTGAATATTATAAGATATGATTTTGAGAATAAAGAAACAAACATGTATTTTTTTTAGAATAGGAATAGAGTATTTTGAAAAAAAACAAACAAACAAACAAACGCACCTGTACCGTAATAACGGCAAATAGAAATGAAGAAGATAACACCGTCTAGCCACGTTAATTAATAATTCAAGAAAATTTGGAGGTCATTTTACTTAGTAAATTTATCTTGATTCAACATGTTATGCCTAGAAAAGTAGGGCTGGCGCAAAGCCTTGTCAGCATGAATGGTCAGAGCTTAAGAAGGTTCTACGACCGTTCAGATTCGGCCACGTCGCGTGATGACGTGAGCGGCATGCTCCTGCCTGTGTAGTAGGTGTACGCCAAGTTGGCGAATGGTGGGAAACGATCCAAATGTCCAATCCATGCACGAGTCGAGGAAATCACTCGGGCAAGTGAACAATAGGACGCAAAAATGGATTTGCATTGCATCTACCCTACTCGCAGATTTGATAATCATTACCTTGGTTCATCACACTATAAATAGAGGACTTCTCTCTCATTTGTGGGATTAGCTAATTTCACTCTGGAATAGCATACTCTTTCTCTCTCTCTCTCTCATTTGTAATTTTGTATTCTCCAAATTATAATTCAGCTCACTGAGCACGACCTAATTTCACTCATTAATACAATATTAGTAGACATAGGATTCGCCTTGTGAGCATCCGAACCACTTTAAATATTGTTCTTCCCTTCAATTAACTAAATCCATCCATAATCATGCGTGACTTTTGAGTCTACTCAACATTTTTCACATGCGAATAATTGATATCAAAATTAAGCATCCACACAATATATAAGCTTTTCACAAAGAATTAACAAAGGTTAATTTGGTCTTTATAACATCTAATAATAAAAATTTAATGTGAATCAACAAAACAAGACAAAATCAAACATAAGACAATTACTTTACTTTACATAAAGAGAAGCAGAATGGACATGTGGCATAACCAAAAGTATTTTGTTACTGTCGGGATGATAACAATTTCATTCCTATTAAATATCATTTTGCTCCTCAAAAACTTGCTAATAACCCAAATACGGTACTTATAAATAAAGATTAAAGACCATAATGTTATGGACTAAAGGTTACTTAAGCCAAACCTCAAGAACTAAATTGTTATTTTCCCCAGTTCCGTATCTTTGGATATGTGTACTAAAAGGTTATTAACATTTATCACAATATTAGAGATGATATCAAATTAGTCTTGGTGTTCTGCATTTAAGTTAAAATGACTTTACAATATGTTAGGAAACAATAACATTATGAAATATTAGAGCTTTATTGTTACATTCTATGTTATAACAAACAAGAGCTCGAATCAATTTATAAGTTTGAGTTTCTTCAATAAATAAATTTGTTGAAATAGTGTCACAATTGATAAAACTCTGATTCTAGACAAGTGATGGAAACTACCAAGTTGAAGTACAATAAGGGTAGAAGGAATTTCTGGTGGAGCAATGAAATGTGTAAAGATTGACAAAATCACCAACGGTTGGTGAAAGTAATCTATTAGGCCGACAATGACACTAAGAGATAGAAGCTCAAGGAACGAATGGAGTTAGACACTCTAATAGTCCTAGCCATAAACAATGAATACTAGACGTTATACGTATTGATTATGCAGTGTTAGTGTTATAGTTAACACTTTTAGCTCAATCTTTGTGTTTCTAGACTCGTGATGGAAACTACCAAGCTGAAGCACAGTAAGGGCAAAGGGAATTTCCAGTGGAGCAGTGAAATATGTAGAGACTGACAAAATCATTGACGGTGAAAACACTTTATTGGGCCGACATTGACACAGAGAGACGAAAGCTAGAGGAGCGAATGAAATTAGGTACTCCAATAGTCCTAACCATAAACAATGGATACTAGACGTTATACGTATTGACCATGTAGTGGCAGTGTTGTAGCTGACTCGTTTACCTGAAGCTTTAGGAATGGTGTCACAATTTTTGTAACACGCCGTGTTTATTTGGACGAGAATTGCTATGCCTCCTCTCTCATTTACATATTTCATGTCCAAAAAGCAAAAGAAGATCTGAAATAGGAAGACTTAATGAACCCCAAGCTTTAGAATAGTGTCACAATTTGTGTAACTGGATGAGTAGGTTGAGGACCAAATTAGACCCATTGGCTGTCATATGATTTGATGCCCCAAAGTCCATATACCAAGACTGATCCTAAAGAGTCTGCGGTGTGGCAACAACTTTACCAGGAGCCATTGAAGCTAGAGAGCTATCATTACCAACTCTAGATTGATGAACAACAAAAGAATCAATGCTAGGATTATTGTGATGTACAGGACCAGGTGAATTTTGAAGAGTTCCTGGAGGAGAGTAAAATGTGTTTCTAGTTGAATAATGAGGTGGTTTGAAACCATAGGTACTGAATAGTCATGAAAACCCAAAAAATAAGCAAACAAGGCTTGAGCAGAATCTGTAAGTCCTTCAGCACCAACATTTGAAGAAGAAACTTGTGGATTAAATGTAGTAGACCGTGGTTGAGAATTATAGGTTGGATTAAACTTGAATAATCTTTTGCGTATTGTTACTCTCCTTGGTTGCACAATTCCATGAGGCTCTCTCTTGCTTTAGGCTCAGGTAACCTGCATAGAACACATCAAATAAACTGAACATTGAATTCATCCTTCGTATTTTTGGTTGTACTTGTTTGTTTTGTAACCAATAAACGTATTATGAAGATGACAAGAAAATAAAATATTGTCCCTTATTTATACTAATCTCTACTACCTGAAAACGTAAGGAGAATCTTATCATAATAGGGAACTGATTTTTATTTATAAAAGTAATTCTACTAACATAAGGTAATTTGGATGAGAAAACTAACCAGCAAATAGGATTTCCAAATCTATTATGCCAACTACCCATTTTATCTTCTTTTTATTTTCAAAATAAAATAACTCATAAAACCATTCACCAATCAATTTAAATGTGTGAGAAAATCTTTGAAAGATATTTCGTTGTATATTAATTTTTTTTGATCTTTTTTCCTTGTAATATATATAAGCTCCCTGCCTAGAACTAGTGAACCTTAGGTAGCCATGATTTGGAGCTCATGAATGAATTTTTGATTGGGACAACTTGAAGCTTAACAGATGGAGGAACTTAGTTCTCACCAGTAAGTTTAGTATAATATTTATGAGGGGTTAACCAGATTATCTGACTTTTGGTTTGCTTTCATTAGGTTTAGGGTTTGAGTCTCTGATGAACACTTACATGGTTAGAGAGCATTATTTTTCACTTTCTGAAGATACTAACAAGGCTGCATGAATTATTTTTTTGCCTCTCTTGAAGGTTGTAGGATTAGCCGATCAAGTTTCAGTTTCAAATTTGAAAAGATCAACCAATGCAAGAATTTGATTAAGATAAAAGACGGATGGAGTCATGATTTTGATTAAATATATGAGTGGTGTTATTTAAGCCCCACCCAATCTCTTTTTAAGTACTAATAATAATTTTTTAACAATGTTACATATTTTCTAACTGAGGTATCCAAACACAATTGCCAGTCGAGTTTGCCTAATCCTTAAGGCCATGAAACACTCTACAAGCCCAGTTTTTATCCATTTTTTTCAATAGGGAGACAAATAAGGCATTTTGTAGGTTTATTGATCAATCTAAATTTGGCAAATATGAGAGACTTTTTCTAGACCAAGGACCTCATGAAGCTAAGGATAAAGACAACATATCAAGGCATACTTTTCAGTGCGAGTTCTTAATTACTTTGTCTAATACTATGCTTTCTTAACTTAAAATCTTCTCTCAACATGTCAATAGGACTGTTGATGCAAAAATACACCAATTTGAGTGATCCGATCGACCTTTTTCAGGATCAGAACTGATATGTGCGTGATTACAAGTAATCAACAATATGTAAATGGAAAATGCAGTAAAATAAATGGCAAGAAAGTTTTTAAAGTGGTTCGGCGAGTTGCACTCTTAAGCCTACGTCCATTGTTTTTGTATTTGTTGTGAGAGCTTACAATGACAGTCCTAAAATAATTTGCTAACCACTTTCTCATAGTTGGAGGGGGGTTATATACAAATTTTGTACAAAGGAAAGAGAAAAAAAAAAAAGGGATCACAAATAAGTTTAAAATGCAACTC